TAACAAAAAAAAAAAAAAAAAAAAAAAAAAAAAAAAAACTGTCCAGATGACCTGACTGAAAAATGTTGGATCAAATATTGATGTTTCTTGTCTTATCTTATAACTTGCATAATGTTCTTCAACCTGATAGACAAAACATTACCTGTTAACTGGGTTTTTGATTAAGGCCAATTAAGGTAATGAACATTCTCAAAAACTGCAGGAGATTTTGGGCAACAACAGAAACAGTCAATGTCTCATTAACAGCTGTTCGCTCTCTTCTTCGCAGGTTGTGCATCATAAACATCTTAGATCTCTTCCTCTAACTATAATGCAGAAATATGACACATCTAGGTGACAACAGCAACAACTTTCAAAAGAAGCACATTAATTCAAATAATCAGTGATTTAAAGATATGGACAAATGATAATGTTCTGGTTAACTCTAAACTCTTATTGTTATAACTTATCAAAATAAGGAGGACTAGCTGACTGAGCTGACACATCTGGATGTCTGACTGAGAGACAATGGCCATGCTTCAAAAGAATTTGCAAAAAATTTGTCATTTACTACAACAAATGTCATTTGAAAAGATTTTTAAATGTAATAAGGTATGTTTGTGGCAGGTTTATGCAAGTTTGCTTTCTCATCAGCCTTTATAAATACATTTTTTTAACTCTTGCAGGAAGTGAAAGTGACACAAATCTAATCTTTACTGTTACACATCAATGTCTGGTAACACAACTGATAATAAACTGTGTTTTATCTTTATTCCTTGTGAGTCTTTGTAACTTGTGAAGCACAGATCAGTCAAGCTGTTATTTAACCACAAGGTGGCAACATTCAGTTGTCGTGGTGCAGCATGACAGCACAGCAGAGTTGTAAATAATTCAAATAAAACACCACAGATATACTATTATTAGATGTGCAGATCCTAGTTCACACTGCAAATATTATAGATAAAAAAAATATTATATCTTTGCATACAAAGTCATCTTATTTGCATCCGCTCTGTGGTTTTAATGCATTTGCTTGTAAAGCATGAAAAATTCATATGTGTTGGTTTTGCAGCATCTATTTTTCAAAGCTGGTTGTCGATGAAGCCCAGATGTTTTGGTTTGCAAAAGCAGAGCTCCTAAAGCTTTCCTCTTGTGTCTTTGGCTGTTTTGTACGTTCTTTAAAACAAGATGCAGATTATGAATATTTAATACAGCAATGTTCATGCAGGTCATCTGGACGGTTTCTTTTTTTGTTGCTGAGATGTTTCATCCTTCATCCAAAGGTCTTCTTCAATCTGAGGAGACACCAACAAACTGATTTTCACAAACAGCACACTCCTATAGTGGAAAAACAAAAAGTTTGCTGGTGCTATGGCCTCCAGAGCCTGCCCTCTCCCCCGTCAACACCTTTGCCTTTGCATCAAAGTTCATAGTTCGAACATGCAGGTAACTTACTGAGAAATGAAAGATTTTTTTATTTAAATTGTGAAGAAATTAGTAAATGTTCAGGACTTCTGAGCCTGCTTCAGTGTATGAACAGTGTTTTTAAAATACCAAAGTTCGTGCTCATTAATCCAGGTAAAAATCCAACAATGCTCAGTCAGGTCATCTGGATGGTTTCTTTTTTTCCTGAGATGTTTTGTCCTTCATCCAAAGGACTTCTTCAATCTGAGGAGCCACCAAACAAACTGAGTTGGATTTTTACCTGGATTATGGAACATGAACCACTTTGGCATGACTGTCTGTCTCAGAGGAGTTGACGGGGGAGAGGGGGGGCCCCGGAGGCCATCTTAGCCCCAGCAAACTGTATTTTTCCACTGTTTGTGGAAATCAGTTTGTTTGGTGTCTCCTCAGATTGAAGAAGTCCTTTGGATGAAGGACAAAACGTCTCGGCAAAGAAAAGAAAAGAAAAAAAAAATTCATACGCCCTGACTGAACATTGTTGGATTTTTATCTGGATTTTTGAGCATGAACTTTGGTGAATTTTTAATACAGTAACTACAATTACTACTGTCTGTAATGATGAAGACAAGGGTTAAGAAACTGCAAAGCTGAAAGAGGCACAATGCTTCAACAAGGTTTTAAAGAAGCTTTATTAAATCAAAGCACAGATCATTGCTCATACAAGACTCTTCCATCCTGCACTTTTTTCTTACTTTTCTCTTGCGGGCTGCATGAAAACGTGGATCACTTCACAGCGTGGCTCAGCAGCTTCACAGAGGAAGTCATTAAGGTATTCTGGGTTAACAAGGCGGCAAGCAGGATATGCCGACTTCAGCAGCAGCACTGAGGGATGGCACTCGTGCAGAGTAAACTTCCTCAGTCTAATAGTTTCCAATATATTCACTAAGCTGGACAGTTGGAACATGATGTGGTGTGGTTCACTCTGTACTCATAAAAAGTAACTCAAATATCCATCTTTAAACTTTTTTCCTCTAAATTTTAAAGTTTAATTCCATTTTTTTTTTTTTTTTTTTTTTCTTACTATATATTTATAGCCTAAATTGTATGCCTCCATATTTCTGTTTTATCAATGCGTTTAAAAACAGTTTTTGGGTTTTGATTTTGTGTTTCCAAAGAGACTGAGATTTTCTTCTGTATTTATGTGCCAACCATTTTGCTGAATACTCATTACTACAACGTTTATGAATTCATAAAGAAAAATGTTATATAGTGTGCATTAAGAACATTTTTATGGCCCTTTGTGTTTTATTTTGTAATCCAACAGTTTTGTTTGTGAGTATCGGGACAACGGATTGACATTTTTAAGCATTTATTTTTATGAAATGCATGTTTTCTTCATTGGCTTTTCTCGATAAACAATTAATAAAAAAGTGAATTTGAAAAAGCAACTTTTTTTTATTTAGTAAAGTTACCAATAAAACAAACAAGAGAATTCAAACACTGTTCAAGCATTGTGATTTGTGTTTTATACAATAGTATCTTAATTACAAAGTAGTTTTCTTTCCTTCAGCAAGTTGTTTTTAACATATCTCCTTGTTGCTTAGGTTAAAATGTTTGGACTTTATGTTTATGTGTAACATAAGGATCCTGTGTTATATATTTGGATGTTTTGAAGGCAGCAGAGCAAAGTGAAAATGATAAATCTACCATTAATGCAAAAATTGGTCCTG